AAAATGCTGTCAAAGTTGAAAAGGACATTCCTGATTTATTATCCGAAGCAGGATGGACTTCAGATCTGAAACTTATTCCTGATCCTGCCGCTGAGCCATTTTGGGAACAGAAAAACTTGTGACACTTCTCTTTCTGACCCTCAGTGCCCTGGTCTGTAAGGTGAGGAAAACCAAACTATGCAAAGAACTAAGTATTCAAGAATCCAGAACAAAAGATGCAAAAAGTGATATTGGTCTTATTGCTAATGTTATTACGGCTTTTATCTTCACCAACTTTACAAAATTCTTGAAAGATACTCTATTTGGATAAATTGCAGCAAGTCATTTACGACCTCCACTATAATTCTCTTCTCATGTAATAAAAAAGGTATTTTAAAAATGTTAAGATTCATCCTGGTAACTTTGGGCAGCATAAGACACAAACGACTAAACACTAACCATTTTTCATTTTGTTACCGGAAATATATCCACTCCTTGAAATAACAGAAAGTGTTTGTGACTGTGTCATTTAAGTATATCATAAAAAGATTTAAATAAAACCTTATGAATAAATAGACTGGCAAATGCCATTTTAATTTACAACTTGGACTCTGTAATAAAGCAAATGTCATTCTTTGTTTTTTTTATAAAACCAAAGAAAAGAATTTACCATCTATGGAAGCTCAAAAACCAAGATAACTTCCCAGTTTAAATCACCAAAAAAAAGTATGATACATTTCAGAAAGTTATTTCAATATTTCACTGAAAAGGAAAGTGACAAAATGCATGATTATGCAACAAAGATTGGATTTACTTTAAATCCTGTGTTCAGAAGAGACTTCATGAACTTCGTGGTTTCAAGGAGGGGAACATCAGGTTGTGCTCAGTAAGAAGTGACAGATCTAGGCTTCAGTCGTCACTTGCTCTTCACTTTCTATATTTTCCCACCTGAATAGTATTTCTTTCACACACCAAATTAAGACTGAAAAAAAATGAAATCTAAGGTCTCTTCCAATTCTTATAATCTAGTTTTTAAGCACAAAACCCAAGTGCCATAAAGATGGCATCTTTGAAAAATGATATTTAATGCTATCAAATATCTATATTAAAAGTTGATAAAGGGCTTAAAACCAATTTTTACGTAAAAACTCTTCAACATGATTTCAGTATGAATTTCCTCCACATCTATTCTTGAAACATGAATTAACTCTGATACCACATAACAGTCACTATGATAAAACAGATACCATTTCATAAAGGGATACTTAGAAGACATTCTTCTAACATTATAGTAACTCAAATGTCTTTAATTCTAGTCTTTTTTTTTTTTTTGGGGGGGGGGTGAAAGCTGGAACACAGGTGCTATTTGTTATAATTACTAGGAAATTAAAGAAGGAAAATGAGGAAGAGTTAAGTTTTATCTGACCTAATTTCTAGTTTTAAGTCAGAAATGTGTTTAACAGTAGGCTATGTTTATTGCACATTCAAACTGTGATTTCTAATTGCAAAGGCATGCACAAATATGTATAGTTTTTTCTTATTTCTTTGCACATAAACAGCAGAAAGATATTTTGAAATAAATTATCTTCCTTTCTCACCTTCCTTGTACAAATGTTATCAACTTTTGCAAGTTACATTTCTTTGAAAATGAATAAAACTCCCACTATTATATTTGAAAAACAGAGAATTCAAAGATAAATTGATTTGACCAAATAATTTCTAAAAGGGGAAAAAAGCCTTTCAATCTCTGTTATCTCAGGCATACTATTTAATAGTATTTGATTATTTATAAGATATTTTCCATAAAAGCTATTCACTGGGAACAGACATCATACATTTTAGGTGTAATAAATAGTTATTATGGATTCGTATTTATCTCAAAAGCAACAGCCAAAAATAGAAGTCTCAAGGGACTTGCAGGGGGTGGGAGGAATGTAAGGGAGAAAAAAAAAAATACTGAGGAGAGGAAGGTAAGAACTATAAAAATCTGTTTCCCTGTATTTTTGGATCTGTCTGGTGAAAGAAAGAGTGATATTATTACATGCTGCTCCGGTAGGCAAAAATAAGACCACACATGGAGAAGTTATAGGAATGGAGACTTGGGTTCAGTATATAGAGATACAAATTTTTCCTACTATGGGAATCACACAGCTCTGGAATAGGATGCTAAATGATCTTCAAAGAGAAATCATTGTCTTTCTTTCAAGGATCTCAAAGAAAGAAGTTCTGTGTTAGATAGGGAATTCATCCTTGAGACTGCATGAGTACAAACACATTTTCTGGTGATGATAAATAAGTTGAAAGCTACAAGGATATACCGCCCAGGGAAGGGAATATAGTCAATATTTATAAGAACTTCAAATGGGCTATAATCTATAAAGTATCACTACGCTGTATACCTAAAACTAATATAATATTTAAATCAACTATACCTCAATTAAAAAAAAAAAACTTAAGATTTACAAAGTCTAAATTATAGGCACCAGGAAGTCAGGAGTTTTATGTTGTCTTCTTAATCACTTTACCTCCTGAATTTTTCTTCCTAATGTCTGAAACAAAATGAACTCACATGAATGTTTGCATTGGATGAGTGAAAGTACTGACACTTATTTTGGGAGACTAGTTTTATAAATATTGTGTGGTTCAGCTGTCATTTTTTACGAATTGAAAATAATTTGCTATGTTAATTTGGTATTAACATATACACAGTAGTATATATAAAACAGACAATTAACAAGGACCTTTTGTGTAGCATTTTCTAATAATTTTTAAGGAAAAAGAATCTGCCAAAGAATAGATATATGTGTATAACTGAATCACACTGCTACATACTTGAAACTAACACAGCATTGTAAACTAGTACTATACCAATTTAAAAAAAATCATTAGACTTTCTGTGGAATTTGATTCTATTATTTCATAAGTTTCATCCTTTTAAGGATATCACAGAGTAGGAAAAACAGCACATAAAATCTAAATGATTCAAAATTCTTGGGCAATCAATAGAAACTCAGACTATATTATGTTTATTAAATGTAATAGTATATTGAGAAGCATGGATCCTGTTATGAAGATCCAATATCTTGCGGCATGTTTCATAATTTTGTAGTGTCCTTTTTTTTTTTTGAGTAATCTGATCACATTATTGAGGAAAATCATCTTTATTGGAATGTACAATAATTTAGAGCAACGACTTCATTTCATTTACCTTGTATCCATGGCAACTGGCACAGGACTTGTCTTTCAGGGGGTGTTCAATAAAGTTAATTGAATAAATATTTGCATCAGTGTCAATAGTATAAGTGAAAGTTACTTGCACTGAAAATAAGATCTACTTGCACTGAAGCACCACTTTTCCCAGTGTGGTCTCCAGAACTCCTTTCGCACTTAAATGATATGTGTAACTTTACAAACTAACATAAAGACATAGAAGACTTGTTGATTTCCACTGAAGCCTGCAGAGTTCACTCCTGCTCAGTGTAGGGAGAAAACAAACAGTCTCTGCGATCAAACATGACTAATACTGGCGACGCATTTTCTTTTTGATAATATCTGTCATGACAGATACAAGGGGATACCTCATTGCAATTCTGATTTTTGATGAGTAGTGATGTTGAGCACCTTTTCTATGCCTACTGCCCATCTCTATGTTTTCTTTGGAAAAACACATATTTATGTCTTCTGCTCATTTTTCAATTGGGTCATTTTTTTTAATATTGAGTTTTATGAGCTGTTTATATATTTTAAATATTAACCACTCATCTAGCATACCATTTGCAAATATTTTCTCCCATTCAGTAGATTATATTTTTATTTTGCAGATGGTTCCCTATACTATGCACAAGCTTTTAAATTTAATTATGTCCCATTTGTTTATTTGTGCTTCTGTTTCTTTTTCCTTAGAAGAATTAATGCAAGCACTATGGAAAAGAGTATGAGGGTTCCTCAAAAGAACTGAAAATAGAATTCTATACCATAAAATCCAGCCATTCCACTCCTACATATATAGGAATAAATCTAAAACACTAATTTTAAAAAGATATATGGATCCCAATGTTCACTTGCAAATAATGAAGCATTATTTACAAGAGCCAAGATATAGAAGCAATACATATGTCCATCAACCAAGGAATGAATAAAGACAGTTTGGTAGATATATACAATGGAATATTACTCAGCTGTACAAAGAATGAAAAATTTCCATTTGCAACAAACAGTGAAAACAATGTCAGACTTTATTTTTCTGGGCTCCAAAAATCACTGCAGATGGTGATTGCAGCCATGAAATTAAAAGACGCTTACTGTACCTGTGTATTAAAAAGCAGAGACATTAGTTTGCCATCAAAGGTCCGTCTAATCAAGGCTATGGTTTTTCCAGTATCATGTATGGATGTGAGAGTTGGACGGTGAAGAAAGCTGAGCGCTGAAGAATTGGTGCTTTTGAACTGTGGTGTTGGAGAAGACTCTTGAGAGTCCCTTGGACTGCAAGGAGATCCAACCAGTCCATCCTAAAGGAGATCAGTCCTGGGTGTTCATTGGAAGGACTGATGCTGAAGCTGAAACTCCAATACTTTGGCCACCTAATGTGAAGTGTTGACTCATTGGAAAAGACCCTGATGCTGGGAGGGATTAGGGGCAGGAGGAGAAGGGGATGACAGAGGATGAGATGGCTGGATGGCATCACCGACTCGATGGACATGAGTTTGAGTAAACTCCGGGAGTTGGTGATGGACAGGGAGGCCTGGCGTGCTGCGATTCATGGGGTCGCAAAGAGTCGGACACGACTGAGCGACTGAACTGAACTGAACAACGTGGATGGACCTAGAGGATATTACAGTTAATGAAATAAGTCAGACAAAGACAAATACTGTATACTTGCATGTCTATGTGGAATTTACAAAATGAATGAATATAAGAATGACTATAACAAAGTAGAAACAGACACAGGAACAGAGAAGAAAGCAGCGGCTCCAGTGGGGAGTGGGCAGTGAGGAGAGGGAGGGCAGGGGCAGAACACGGAGATGCACAAACTCCCAAGCATAAAATCAGTAAGCTCTGGGATATACTGTACATGAAGTATAGCCAATATTTTATAATAACTTTAAATGGACTATCATCTATAAAAATACTGAACCTATGCTATATACCTGAAACTAATATAGCATTGTAAATCAACTACACTTCAATAAAAAAAAAAACTTGAGGCTGACAAAGTCTAATTTTGTATCTACACAGATCTTCAAATTCTATTAAGTCCACCCTACCCAAGAATAACATCACTTCTGTACCTGCCCCATAATTGCTCCTTCCATATAAGAAATCCAACACAATTAACCCAGCTGAAAATCCTTTCCTCCAAAGTCTGCCTGTTTCCAAAAATAAAAGAGAAAGTAGATTTTCAAAAGGAAAGTGATTCAAAATAAAGTAATATGCTACCAGGAGAAATTTGAGATTGTCCTGTCTGGGCAGGGTTTTATTTCCCAGAGTGGAGCCTCAGTGATCAGCAATTAACATGTGGCTGAGTACAGAAAGGGGTCCCTTGATTATTGCCAAGCTGCATATTTGGATTCTGGACACATTTAAAATGTCTGACAGAACTTCAGAAGAATCTTACAAATACAGGGTCTTCATGATTAGGTGCTGAAGGAGAATGCTCATCACATGAAAATGATTTCAAGAAAAATCACTAGAAAGGCAATCTGCTATGTATGATTCTTCAGGAAAACACCCTAGTCAATACTGTAGACCTTCATAGTATCACAAACTGCAACATAGATTTTATTTCACTCTTTACATGGTAGTAGGATGGGGCTGTTGGAAGGTAAGGAGAAACAATGATTAGATTCAGAGACCTCTGATTAGGACAAAGGTTGGAGGGAAAATGTCTGCAGTCTTTCTCGTGTGGCTGGGAACAGGCAACATTTTAAGCCTCAGATGCCTTGTCAGGAAAATAGGAGGTGATCAAGGACAGTACTGAATTCTCTCCTGAAGATATTGTAAGCTATTAAGTATTATAAGAAGGTTGCAACTACAGAAGCACCCACATAAATAATAGCTGATCATTAATGCTGATACCTGGGTTAGAAAAAGAGAAAGTTATTAGACAGTATTAATAGATTTTACTCCAAAACTGACAAAGAGCAAACACTTTGGGAAAATGGATGTTTTCCTTCAGCTCTTCTGGAAGGCATTCACATTTGGTGATAAATCTGGGAAAGGAAGCTTCTACCCCAAAGCTGCAATAAACAGTTTCTTCCCAGAAGGGTGAGATCCACGTGATAAAGATAAGCAGTGGGCCTCATGCTGCCAGTGCATTAAAATGATACCAAGAATCTGGTGCTTTTAATACACCAAGGTGACTCCTATTTTTCAAAGGGGTTCTGAAAATACCAGGAGAAATAGGCTCAGAGAGTAATTAATTTCATCTTATACTAATTAAAGGAAATGTCTGCTCTATGTCATTTGAGGAAACCACAGATGACCCAGGTCAGTGCATTAGACATAAGAAAGGAACAGGAAAAATTAAACACACACATATACACACACCATGAATTCCTTCTACCTCCAGGCAGCAAGTGGTCTTATTGAATGTAGAAGGCTCTGCTCTTACCCTCTAATTATGTATTGATTAGCTGATTATTACTACACTTGGAATAACAGTCAAGCAAGTCAGGGCAGAAGGGAAAGGACCAGCCTACGTGTTTTTCGGATGAAGAAACTGAAGCCCAGGAGGTCCCCAAGCTCGAATGTAAGAGGTCGTGGGCCAGAGACCCCATCCTGCAGGCACCAGGCACAGACACAGCCTCTGAAGGAAACAGGAGTTGGTCTGAAGGGATCACTTGTCATCTGCCCACCAATGAGCTCCTCGGGGGGCCTCCATGAAGTCCCGTGCGCACAGACCTCACCCGAGTGTTGGGAGAGCAAGGTCACAACAACGAGGGACAGTTACCACAGTGTATATTCTATTGGCAGTAACAGTAAGGGAAGAAAGACAATGGACACTGCTACTATAGCCCAGAAGGGCGTGTGATAAGCTGATCCGGAAGGATCAATACTGTTTCCTAGGTTGCTACCTCCAAATAAACCAATTTTATTTACTATGAGAAAATCTGATTGAAAAAAGAAGCCTTATACAGTGGACGGGTAGCCCTTTCTGGATTGGAATGGACCTTCTGTTCATCTGCAGGTAATGGCACTCTAGAAACAAAGGTCAATAATTGGTTTATAATTATTATGGGGCTATTGCAAATCATGTAAAAACAATCTATATACGAGTATATGGGGTAACAACTTCAAAAGTCGGTTATTCTTTGTCTTATTGATACTTTCAAGTGTCTTAAAATAAGTATTCTACTTACCTACTGCACTAAATTAGTGAAGGCATCTTAAAATGAAAAAAGTAATTTGTTCTTGAATATAATTTTATTAAAAATATACAGACTGATTTTATGTTGCCCCTCTAGTATGGCATATTGTTTTCAGCTTTGCCCATATAAAGTTTAATATGTATAAATTTCTTTGAACTGATATTTTTACCATGTACAAAAGGATCCGATAATCTAAAAATAGTTTTACACAGAAAACTATATTCATTATCCTATGATAAGTCATAATGGAAAGGACTATTTTAAAAAGAATATATATGTCTTCTTTGGAGAAATGTCTGTTTAGTTCTTTGGCCCATTTTTTGATTGGGTCATTTATTTTTCTGGAATTGAGCTGCAGGAGTTGCTTGTATATTTTTGAGATTAATCCTTTGTCTGTTGCTTCATTTGCTATTATTTTCTCCCAATCTGAGGGCTGTCTTTTCACCTTGCTTATAGTAACTAATAAAAATAAATGAAAAAAAAGAATATATATATATATATATATACACATACACATATATAAAACTGACTCAGTTTGCCTTGTAAATTTCACAGCAGAAATTAACACAACATTGTAAGTCAACAGTACTTCAAACAAAAATAGCTTTAAAATAAATGCATCATGTGTTGACATTGATCTATGACTGGCTGCCTCCATCCTACACAAGCTAAGATGGTATTTTGCCTCAGAACTATCTGTTGACTAACCCCACCCCCACGCCCAGCCCAGCACAGACTTGTTGGAGATGTGTCATTTCAGAAACAAACTGGATACGGTAGGTATATTACACATCTACTCCTTCCACGGGCCTCCTTCTTTATCAAATATTTATTAAAGTCAAGTGCCACTTTAGTGCAAAAGTATGGAAGAAATGCCGAGATGCATCACTCCTCAGCGATTAGCAAAGAAAACCCAGAGGGGAATCAAGAATCAAGTGTTTTCTGAAGCGGTGGAATCGGGGCTGTTGCTGTTGTCTTTGCTTCAGGTATTGAGACCTGTCAGATGTGTCTCAAATGCATGAGAATTGGCCATGGTGAATGCCTGCGAAGTGCTCGTTTTTATACGAACTTTACCACCAACACTCATGTTGGTGCTCTTCTCTAGATGGACCATGGGTTCATCACCACTGGTTCTTAATCTTTCTATATAATGTTGATTACTAGTTTTATACTTTTGTTAACTGCCTCTGTCTCTATAAAAGCTAATTGATGACATAGCTCCTTCATGCGTGTGTGCTCAGTCACTTCAATCGCGTCCGACTTTTTGGGACCTTACAGACTGGAGCCAGCCAAGGATTTTCCAGGCAAGAATACTGGAGCAGGTTGCCATGCCCTCCCCTCCAGGGGATCTTCCTGACCCAGGAATCGAACCCACATCTCCTGCGTTGCTGGTGGATTCTTTACCCATGGAGCCACCTGGGAAGCTCCTTCAGGAATAGCCAAATGGAATATGAGTTATTTTGTGAAAGTCAAATGGGTATTTAGACTTCCACTCTGAAACGAGGCAAGAAGCTTCACCACAGCATCACACAGCATAAGCTCACTCAGCAGCCATTCCTGTGGCCGAGGCCAAAGGATTTCAAGCAAGGGGAGACTGGTGTGTGTGAGCAATGAGGACGTAACCTTGGTCTCGTACACACTGGGGAACAATGACTTCCCTTTTCTGGGCCATTAACGTGGCATGAAAGGTGAAATTCCCAGAGCTCACCAGAAGAGCCCCCCGCAGACAGCACGCACCTCACTCACGGCCACGTTCAGTGGATCTCACTAAGCTCACTCTGCTGGCGACATCCTCAAAAGGCTGGCGTCCCATGTGATGGCCAGACCTGGGTCTGGGGTCACACTTGATGAGGCTCTCTGCACCAGGCCTGACTGTAAACCACGTGGCAGAACCACAGATTCTCTTGCTGCCGGGTCAGCTTTCCCTGGAAAAGATGCAGCAGGCATGAACGCGGGGGCCCTGAGTCAGGAGCCCGGCTGAGGGCACAGGGCTGGCCTGCAAGCTGGGCTGAGCCACCACCCAGAAGCTAATCCGCCTGGCCGTTCCCTTGCTCACTGATTCCCCAGCTCCAAGGTCTCCCTCCTCTTCTGCAGGCCCTGCTGAGTGGCTGAGTTGGCAGTGCTGACTGCACGTGGCCACGCTGGAGAGAGATACTTTCCCTTGGAAGACCGAGTAGGCTCACCCAACTTCGAAGGGCTTGTGTTTGGCTGAAGGCCACGAGGGTCCTGGGCGGCCGGCTCTGAAAGTCTGATCGTATGACCTTGGACAGAGCGCCATGCAGGACGCGTCTGTGTCACACTAACTGGGGCTTCCACACGTGCGGCTTCACAAGAGAAGTGCTCAGATGTCGGGGTCTGGGGAAGTCATTCTGGCTTACAGATGAGCTACTTTGAATTTCATGCTAACTAGGACAACCTGTTTGTGGCCTACTGGCTATACTTTGTACACCTGCTTTAATTATTAAAGAAATGGTCACAGTGACCAAAAGCAAAGAATGTCCATGTTAAAAGTAAAGATTAAATGCCTCCCTTCCTGGGATACCAATGCTGAGACTCCTTTCTTCCAGGTGCCAAGGCCACACTGACTTGCTGTATTCATCCTTGTCTTTCTTTTTTTTTTGAAACCTTGAAGGAATGTATCCTTGACTAGTTTCATGGTCGTTGTTCTGATAAGACATGAA